CGGGTCCCCTGTTCACCAGCGGCTGTCAGCCTCTCTGACCTCAGTGTCTCCAGTCAAGCCAGATGCTCTACAGCTTGATGAAGCCCCTACTGGAAGTTTGAAGTATGGGCACTGAGGTAAGGCTTCCACTGCCAGAGTTCACCCCACCTTTGTGAACTCTGCGGCTAAGGAAATACGGGATTTACCCAAGGTCCCATAGCAAGCTGGTGGCAGGCCTGTCTCATGCACATTATGCTGTCCCAAGCATGACAGTGTGGTAACAAGGGACCTACACATAAGTGTCCAACTCCATTATCTGATGCCTCAGGCTTCATCAGGAGCTCAAGATCAGGGAAACCTCATACCAGCTGATAGGAGGCTAAGGAAGTGAAACTGGGTCTTTCTGCCAGGGTGTCCCAGCAGCCCTAATAGATTCTACTGCCACTTACAAAGAATGGCCTTAGGAGTCCTGAGCACCCATGTCATGCAGTCCAGAGCTCATAGTATCAGAACCAGACCACAACTTTCTCAGGGCTGAAGCTAGCCTTGGTCCTTGGGTCTACAGCAGCCCCCAATGCCTGAACCAGAGCCACAGGGCTGTCCCTGTGCTCTAATATACCTAAGCAACTTTGCTCAGGCACACGGCTGACCTCCTGTCTCTGCAGCATCTCTTGATAGAGGTGTACAATTGTGTCCTGTGGTTCTTGCATGGGGTTGGGGATGACAGGTGTGTGGGTTGCCTATACTCACTGCAGGAACATCTGGAGTTTTATAGTTGGGCACAGTCTGTCAACGGCAGGTGTTACAGACTCCCTGACGGTCAGAGTCACCACATGATACCTAAGTACACTCCAGAAAAGTAGATCTTTATCCATCCTGGTCTAGTCTCAGAGCTTTGGGTCATAGGAAGCTGTTTGTATTATGGGGTAATCTCAGGCATCCTCAATAAACTATTCAAATATTAGAGTAAGGGTTGGAACAGAGGGCAGGGGTTGGAGCTTGGGAGTCCCATCTGTGAGCACTTAAGTGCCCGAGCAACTGCTGCACTTGCCTCTGGCTGCCTATAGGGAGGAGGTGGGGCATGGAGGGGGAGCGTATTACTGGTCAGAGATGGATTTTCAGGTCAGGCTCCCAGGAAATATTGAGAGGAGCTCTATAGGTCAGACATGGGCTTTGCTCTAAGGTTAGAGGACTCTAAGCTGGTGCTAGTGGAGAGTGTGTGAGGGAGGGGATGTCCCTGGGCTCTGCGGCCATCTCTCCTGCTCAAGTCCCACACCGAATCCAATCTTCTGTGGCTAGCATGAAAGTCCTCCGAACTATTTACCAATATTGGAACTCTTCTGGTACCACTCTGGGCTCAGGCGGGGGTGGATTGGGGTTCAAGATGGCTGGAACTGCAGTTGAGCAAGGAACAAGTTAAGCTTTGTGTTTTGGTGCTTCAATCTTGGAGGTGGACAAGTATTGACAGGCTGAGGAGGGGTTTCTAGGAAATGGTCCAGTTTGGGTTCTGAAGGATGAAGAAGACAGAGGGCAGGAAAGAGTCAAGGGGGCACTTCCTGTGTGCCCACAGGCTCTGGAGATGCAGATAAAATGAGGTGGGTTCCTACTTGCATATATAACATCAGAGGCCTCTCCTGAGAGACTCCAGGTCAGAAGCTTGGTAATGGGGCTCCTCCCCATCCCTCCCAGTTCTCAGGGCCCAAGGCAAGGCTCTCTCAGGTCTCTTCCTCTCCAGCGTTTCCACACTCAGGCTTTATTGAAGCAGTAGGCACTGATGGGTTGGTTATAGACTTGTGTCCTTGGGTATCCCCCAACCATGGGCCAGAAACTCCCATCCCTCCCCAATGCCCATGATAAATTCCTGCAACTTCTTGAATCCCATTTCCTCCTGTTCTAACCCCAGGAAATGATGGAGCCCCAGAGGTTGCCCTTGATCTTCTGACATGATTTCCATCCTTCAATGGAGATGATAACTTGTTCTAAGGCTTCTTTGAACTTGGAGAAATCACTTTGCTCAATAGTACAGTCCTCAGGCGGGTCTGAAGGCTGAATAAGGAATACAGGTTTGAGTCATCTTCTTACGAATAAAGTAAAATAAATAGAATAAAACAAAGCAAACCCTTATCTTCCAAGCCACAGGGTCTGGGAAGCTCTTCTTCCTTAGGAGGTAACTGGGGAGTGGGAGGGGCTCCCTCCATGTCTGAGCAAGAGTACAGGACCACCTGTGACTCTGGGGCCTAGAGTCTGCTGTAGGGGAGGAAGCCAGCAGGGTGAGACAGGCCTCATCACTGTCTCAGACAAGGGCATGAGGGTGAGCAGATGGGCGTTTACACCATGCAAGCAGAGCAAAGAAAACAGCTCAGTCAGGGCCCCCTAAACTGTAGCCCTCCTTATACCATGGGCTCTCCAAGGGGTTCTTCAGAAGATGCCCAGGGGCACAGCAACCTTTCTCAGGCTTAGAAAGATTTCCCTTTCCCCAGCTGAGTCTGTGACCAGCCGTTTGACTTGTCTCAGACCTACCCCATATCTATATCTGTGTATGTGTCAGGGAGCCTCAGAAGAACACACAAAAAAACAAAAAACCCAGAAGTGCCCTTTGAATTGATATCCCCTCCTGCCTAGTTTCCGCTCCCCATCCCCAAACCTGTCAATGAAGGAATTTCTTTTGGCTTTGAGATGATCCCAAAGAATAGCTATGTAGCTATGTAGCTCGAGTTCCCCCCCCACACACACCTCCTTACAGGGGCAAATGTTCCTATGAAGGCTTTTGTCCCACTGGACCCCTGGTATAGTGTGGGGAAAATGGAGTCTCAGGTTACCCTAAAAGCAAACAGCAACTTACTTCCAACTTAGGGCAGATTTGGGTGAGTAGCTTCATGTCCTTGTAAACCTTTGTTATGTGTGGGTCCTGCTTGTCGTATCTATCAGAGAGTTCCTTCAGGGTGGAAGTGAAGTTCTTTGTAAACTTCCCATAACAGAGCTCCTGAAACAGGGTAGGGATGTGGGGCTGTAGAACAGGGTACCAGCTGAAACCCCACCTCATCCATCTTTGGTCATCCTGGTCTGACAGAGCTCTAGACCAAAGGCCCTGCTCTGGTTCTCCCATAGGAGACCTGTGGACCTTGCAAACTATGCAGTGGAGGTGATGGATGCTTTATCTCCCCCCAGATCTGCGTTATGCTGGGATGGTGGATAGAGAGTCCAGCCAAGTCTAACATCTGGCCACTGAATTCATCTGTTGACTAAGCCAGAGGTTCAGTTCTCAAATTCTCAAATCCTCGGCATCCCTCGTTTTTATCTCCACCCTGTGTCCTGACTGAGGCAATCTATCTCTCCCTGCTCAGCTGTGGTCAGAAAAGCCCGAGAGATTAGGTGCTCTTTACCTCACTGGTGTTCTGGGGTCTGCTGAAGTAGCCCTGCAAGCAAGAGAGATTGGTCATAGAGGGCCACAAGAGCACATGGGGATTGATGGGGAGCCAGACTTACCTGGTATGTCTTCTTGTCAGCAGAGAGTTCTTGCTGAATCTCAGCACAGAGGGTCGTGTGGTTTTTCTGAGGCGTCACAGTGGCTGCCTGCATTGGGGCACAATGGCTGTCTGACCCCCAGAGCACAAAAGCCAGGAGCACACATGGGTGCATAGTGCTTCTTGAAGCTGACCCCTAGTAAATTCGAGCTGGGCTGGCTTGGCAGCATTTCTGCGGGAAGGGCACCTATATATGTGTGACTCTAAGGAAATGCAGAGGTCTCTTATCAGTTATCAATGGCTTCTGAGGAAGACAGAGGGGACCTTATCGCCAGGCAAGATGTGCTTTACATGCATTTTCAATGATCACACCCCAGTCCATGGATTCTGCTCTGAGATTCAGGCTTGGTCTAGATTCAGACTATTTCCTATCATTGATGGAGTTGTGGCCTTTCAGCCTGAGGCAGGTTGTCTAGCTGGGACTGGAGCCATCGTGTGTGCAGGCTGGAACACTGGGAGCAATGGGTGATGGGAACACTGCACTCTTGGCCTATGGAGCCTGAAGCTGAAGCCAGCCAGCCTCCTCAGGCCCATCTACAAGGAGGAGCCTGGCCCCACTGCCCCCCTGAGCCTTGGAAACACACTCATGTCTCCCGAGAGGGACACAGGGGACTAGTTTGGAGACAAGTCCTTTAGCCTGGCTGTCAAGCAAGGAGAGGGAAGATTACTTCGTTTCCCTCAGCCCCAAGGCCATGGCTTTTAGTACAAAATACTTGTGAGAGTCAAAATTGCATGAAAAAATAAAAACCAGTTAAGAAAAGCACCACCTTGCTGGGCGTGGTGGCGCTCACCTTTAGTCCAAGTACTCAGGAGGCAGGGGCAGAAGCAGGCAGATCTCTGTGTGTTTAAGGCCAGCTTGGTCTACATAGCAAGTTCCATGCCAGCCACTACTATATAGTGAGACTCTGTCTGAAGAAAGGAAAGAAAAGCACACCACCTTATAACCTTGTCTTCAACACAGACTGAGCAGACACTCTGATCTGTCAAAGATTAAGATTACTCATTTTGGGGAAAGTTGGGTAAATATGCTGAGCTCTGACCCATGTGGTTTGGTTTCTTTTTCTCTGAACAGTTAGTCTATTTGTTGATTTACTTTGAGAGTGCAAGGGCAGGATGGGGGCACAGGGTCCAGGGCTTCAAAGGAACACAGCAGTTTTGTTTGATGCTGCGGTGGACCTATTCAGATGGTAACCAGCAGACCCCAGTTCCTCAGAAGCAATGACCCCTTCTCTGGGGCCAGATTTCCTGAGCCAGTCTCTTTGACTTCCAGGTGAACCTAGAGTCCTTTTTCTAGGCCAGGAAGCCCTTGAGAGAGGTCTGCCCAGACATGTGGGATGCTACACTCAGGCCCATGTGTACCTAGGCCCATCTCTCATCTCCCTTTGGCCTTGGCAGCATTGGTTCTGATCAATACCCAACCCCCACAGTCGCCTCACTCCTCCCAGTTTCCTCCCATCTTAAAAATAAGCCAGGTAACTACAGAAATAAAAGCAGATTTTTAAATAATTTATTATTATGGTAAGACATCTTGAATAAATATAGAGTTGTGAGCTTAAATAAATAAATAAATAAATAAATATTTTAAAAACATAAATATATAAATAAATATTACTGGTCCCTATCAATAGAAAATATCCCTCCTTTGTCTTCCATTGCCCACATCTGGATCAGCATGTTCAAGGAAGGTCTGTGCCACCTCCTCTGTGACTGTGAGCCACCCTTTGGTCCTTCAAGACAGAAATCTTGGCATTCCTGGATCGTTGTGGAGGGGGAGGCAGTGGGGAAGCAGCAGTCTGAGAAGTTGGTCCCAGAGCTTTGGCTGCCTCAGTTCTGGACAGGCTCCCAACAGTCAAAGGGAATCTTAAACAGAAAGCTCTTGAGGTACTCTTTGAAATCTGTGAAGGTAAGAACCTCTGTCTCGCAGTCAGTTTCCTGGGGGGGAAAGAAAACACTTGAGTCCAGGTGAGAGGGCGATACGGAGAAGCAGCTGTGTGTTTCTTTGCTGCCTCTGAGAACTCAGAGGCCAGAAGGCCCGTTCTGGAGGCTCAGGTGACCCTGTCTCTGCCCATGTGGTCTCTAAGGCATGCATAGCTCTGCCAATGGTATCTGGGGACAGCTCCCTGACAGAGTTCCTTCCTCTGTTTTTAGAATAATCGGACTGCCTCTTGGTCCCAGGCCAGGGCCAAGCAGCCAGCCTGAGGCATCTCCCTGCCTCTAGGGGGCCATAGAGCTCACCACCTTCCTGGGGGAATAAAGGGGTATTTACCGCCTCTGTCTTTTCCAAGAGTCCCTTCCTTGTATTCATCTAATGCAGGCTTCCCACCGGAAAGTCCTGCCAGGAAGTGGCAACCTGAGCCCTGGCATGTCCTCCGGACCTGAGGAGGCTCTGAGTTTCCTTGGGTTTGAGATGAGTTTTGCTCACCTCTACCCTCATGACTGTTAAGAACAGCATGACAAGACAAGGGGCTACCACCAGGGAGATCTGTGTGCGCTATAGCTCCTGGCTTTGCCTCTAGGAGCTGCTGCCCATTCTGGAAGGGCTCGTGTGACACATCTGTTCACACAGAAACCATTTGTTGGGCTCCTGAACAACCACAGCCAGGTGTCACCCCTCACCTGTGCCCAACCTCCCGGACCAAGATGCTCCTGCCCTGGGCCCTGGTGCTAGGCACTCACCGGGGTGGGGGGACAGTTCTTCTGGTAGTGGCTAGCCATCAGGCTCAGGGGGCCCTGGAGCTTGGTGAGGCTGCCCTGTAGACCGTCCTGGAACAACTTCAGGCGGGTCTGCAAGCATGTCGGCTTCTGTGCGAAGTGACCATTCTTTAATAAGTGGAGGCTGAGTACCCACAGTGGACACAGACCACTCTCTCATCTGGCCTTTCTGTTGTTCCCTTAAGAGGCACAGGCTGGGTCCTTCATAACATTGCCCTGTTCGCTGCCCTCCTCCCTGCCTCAGCCAGGCTACCCTCAGGCAGCACAGCCACTTTCACTTAACCCGCTTTCACTTAAGCCTGGGTCCCAGGCGCCAAAGAGGTGGGACAGAGAGGGGAATGGCTCAGACCTCTATGTGAGCAGGCATTGTTCCAGAAACCCCTCTGTGCCACTCCGTGGTCAGTGCCCTGTCTCTACAGTCATAGGGCACAGTGAGTACCCCTAGCCCACAACTCCATCTCAAAAAATGACTCCCATTTTCCCCTATGGATCCCTGAACTTTGAACATTATCTCTGCCTAAACTTACTGCTCAGTTGATAAGAGTGCACATGACTGCCACAGGCCATGGGCCTCTTAAGTACCCAGATGCTGCTCCCTCCCCCTGGCAGCCAGCTTACTGAGGAAAAGCTATCTACTCTGGGGGGTGGGCATTTAAAACAGACCCTGAAGGGTCCCCAGAAAGATGCACCAGAGAGAAGCACCTTACCTGGCTGTCAAACCTTACAGAGACGACTTCTACAGTTTCTTTCTGTAGAAAGAAAAATGTCATGTTATCAAGCTGATAGGCAGAACCAGGCTGGGGCCAGCAGGTGGCTGGGGACAGCCAAACTCTCTCCTTCACTCACCAACATAGCAGGCGTGTCATGACTGCAGTTGAGGAGGCTCAGGGCTTCTTTGATGGCATCCACGTGTTTCCAGGGCCGAGTGACAGGGGTGGGTAGGCGGGTAGGTGCTGACAAACTGCAGACCACAGTGCCCAGAAGAAGCGCACTCTGCAGCCACATCTTCCTCAGGACCTTAGCTTTTCTCTCTGAGTACTGGGCTCACTGGCAAAAGAGCTCTTATATACACAGTTAGAGGAAATGATTAATGGTGACCACAGAGCTCCAGGGGGGCGGGGGAACTACCTGAGCCGTGGAATCTCCTGGCCCTTATCAGCTACACAGGGGACCCGTGAGCCTTCCCCCAGGTGGCCAGACTTGGGGGTTTTCATTAATGAGCCCTTCCAAGAACTAGCAGCCCACCTGCCCTCTCCCTTGACCGCCTCGCTATCCCTGCCTGGGCAGTCTGACCCAGCCTCTGGCTGTCCCCTCCTTTTGAGGGGCCTCCAGGCACAACTTGGACTTCCTGACCTGGAGTAGCTGAGGCGGGGCTTGGGACACACCAAGTGGGGCTCCTGCTTCCGGGCTCCCCATTCTGCCTTCCTGCCCAGGAGGCCTTTGGGCAGGCTACCCACCCAGGTGGCACATGCCAGTGCCATCCCCAGTCTCTTCTCCTAGTCTTCTTCTGAGACTTGAGTGTAAAGGGACCTCTTACAGGCCCATCCAACTATCCACTTAGACAAAATCCAGCTCAGTCCAGTGAGGATACAGACATGGGCAAGCGCAGCCTAGTCAGGGCCCCGTGACCTTGTGAGCAGAGGGAATGGCAGGCATGGGTCCAGAAGACAGCAAGACCGCAGCGTCTCCTCCCATGGTGCTATCCCTGTTGAGAGCTCTAGTCCTGGCTTATACAAGGTGTGTTCAGTCCCAAAGTTTGAGGGAAATGGGACTGTGACTCCTGGCTAGGGCAGATCAGGCCTCCCAGTTTGACTCCTGCCTCATTGACTCTTCCTCTGAGTTACATGAGCCTCACGACCCTCTGTGGAGCAGCCTGGTCCTGTGAGGTGGGCCCATCACTGCTACCTGTACCTCCAGTGGGTATCAGGGGTCTCTAAGGCTGGCTGCAACATAGTAGCTGCCCTATGCTAGGCACAGGGGTCTCTCACTTCCCTAGCAAGGTCTTCCAGGCTTAATTTCCTGCGAACTCCCAGCTCCAACCCACCTCCAGCTCTAGAGGCCTCTCTGTGGAAGCAGGAACTGGATCTGGAAAAACTACAGGTTCTTGAGGAGCTGACAAGTGTTTGATTTTCACAAGGGGTTTTGGAGAAGACAGCACGAGTTTATATTGGCACAAGGGATCCGGCTCAAGCTGCCCCATGCAGGGAGTCTCATGGCCACAGGGTTGTGGGGTTACACATGTATATCTCTGCATGGATGTATGCCGATCTTTGGGGATGTACCTGTACTCACAGGAGCATCTCAGAGTGGTTTTACATAAGGGTGCATCCACGTGAGCCCCACTTCCTTATCTGCTTTGTGAGAGCCTCTAGGCCTCTGGAGGTGCCCCTTTGGTATGAGAGGAGGTCTCTATGCTCAGAAACATGTTTTATGGCCCCAGAAGTTGACTCAGTGGACTAATGAGATCAGATATTAGTGAGGAACTTCTGTGGTTTCAGGTGACCAGGCCCTCAAGATTGCAAGTGGAACTCATGCCAAGGCCACAGGAATCATTCAGGAAGAAAGACTAAGGACCAGAGCGGCTGTGTTGAAGAACTGAAGACATATTCCCCAGACCCAGAAAGTGGCAGGGCAGCAGCCAAGACCCCTGGAGCATGACAGAAAGGAAGGAAAATGGGAGCCACAACAGAAAGACCCATAGCAGTGACATGGCCTGCAGGTGCCGAAGTTGGTGCACACCAGACAGAACGCCAAGAGTTAGGGGTGCTGTTTGTGGGCAGATACGCATCTTTCTCCTGGAAAGTTGACATCAGGGTGGGGGCGGTGACATAGGCAGGCATTCCTAGATTGCATACGTGGAAAGAAGCGACAATAGATAGCATCAGGGCAGCCGTGCTGACTCAGGGCCCCAGTGGGGCTGTGGCGAGGCAGAGTGGAGATCAGATGGGTGGAGTGACCCTCCTTTGGCCTCCCTGCCCACAAGGCCAAGAGAAAACCAGCTAGAAGGAGTTTCCTGGGAGTGTCCCTCAACATGGGTCATGGAGGAACTAGAGGCTCTTGGCCACCCTGGGATCCTTATCGCAAGAAGTCATCACAGGAGGAAGGAAATGGGCCCCAAGTCCCTCACATCCCATGGGACATACACATAGGCATCTACGATGGTCTGGCCCTTCCTTGTGATGGACACCCCTTGAGGAGGGCTCTGTCTTCAGTGGTCCTGAATCCAGGAGACCAGTCACAGCTCAGTCTACACAGGAAGAGATGGCAACAGAGATGGGATTTGAACCCATGCCTGCTCCTGTACTCTGATGTGTTCTACCTAGTGGGTCACTCAGGGAATTCTGGTCACTTGGATGGTCCAGCAAAGGTAGACCTAGCACACTTTTCTCCTGGGGAAAGCTGTATAGGGACACTCTTGTGATGGCAAGAAAGCTGGAGTGGCCTGTGACTGTCCTGAGGACAGCTGGGAGCTAGGGAATTCCCCAGTAGATCTTGCTGCTCAGATATCTCTGTTCCCCAGGCTTGGGCTCTTGTCTCTACTCAGCCACTCCCAGGAGTTCTGGAATAGACCAGCAAAGTCCCCCAACCTGACCTCAGTTGCCTCATCCACACAATGGGCTAATCACTGCTGCTTCTGTCCTAGGAACATTTGTAGGAGGACCCTCCCAGGAGAGGTGGGGTTCTGGCATCTTCCCTGCCTGGGGAAATCCAAACCTAGCAGAAGATCTAGGCTTTTTGGAATGTTTAAGGACAGCTGTGCCTTGTCCAGCCCCAGCCCCAGCCCCAGGGAGCATCTTTCTGGACAGATGTGGAAATCCCTCCACCCAGAGCCATGGTTTGTGGAGTTCTGCAGTATGCCAAGAGCCATGGTACAGCACAGCACCCTGAGTGGCTCATGCCGAGAGGTGGCCTTATCCCACCCTGCCATACCAGACACGTGGAGCCACAACTTTGGCCTTTGGTGTCTCAGATCCAGGCTGACCTTCCCACATTCCCTGTCTTTGTCCCCAGAGATACACTTTAAAAGGCCAGGTTGCCCTGGTCAAACTCTAGTTCTGGTCCTGCTCTCTGGGTAAGCCTCAGGCCCTGGCGTTGGTGAGTCCTGACCAGTCTGACAGGGCTTGAGGATGGCTGGCTCTGCATCTCTTCAGCCAAGCTTCCACGATGGTACCCAGTATACTTTTTCCAGTTCCTTGAACTCAGAGAGGTCACATCTGTGACCCCATGAGGTATGGACAAGGACAACCAGGTCCAGACTCATAGGTGTAGGGTTGAGTGTCAGCCAAGATATACATACACAAAGAACAATCAGCTATGAAGAAGGCCATGTAATGAGAGTAAAACCGTGAATGGAAAACCTTAAGGGAACTGATGGGGTGTGAGTTTGGGGCAGGAGGTAAGTGAGGAGTCCTTGGTGCTTATAGCCTAGGTCAGGCAGCTGGGTAAACGTCAGGGTCCTTTGCTTGAGTGGGGAAGCCAGACTGGATTGGATGTACCTAGGGAAAAGCCAGGAAACATTCCAGAATACTTAGTCAGTTATGGTGCTGTGAGCCCATTATTCAAGGGCCCAACACTGGGAAGTTGTTGAAGAAAGATGTCCCAGCTCCAGAGAAGTTGCATGGAGTAAGTGGGTGGGCTGTGCAGGGTTTTCAGCTTTTGAAGATAATGAGACATCCTTCTTGACTTCATTCTTTGTTCTCAGCACTCCTGGCTGTCTCCCCAGGACCCAAGCCCACTCAGGTAGTTGAGTCCAGTGGGCACACAGCCCAGGTGGGGTACCATGTCTGTCCACCACCATGCCCTTCCACTATCTGGGCCTTCTGCTTATCTGGGATTCTCCCTCCAGGGTTAGGAATGTGGCCCAGTCCCTGAATCTCGACCCTCAAGCCTTATCTCCAACTGAGAGGTTGTCAGGCACCCAGAAGGGACACTTCCTTTATTTGCATCCTTGAAAGAATCACTGGAGTCTGGGAGTACTGAACAAAATAAAATTAAAAGGTGGAGAAATGAGGTGAGGCGCCATTACAACTTCCTGGAGTTCAGAGAGCTGTCTTCCTGTGTGTTTGGGTAGAAGTACAGGGGAATCCCAGAGCCTTAATTGGCTCTGACACCTGCCATCCTCAAGAGCTCATGGGCCACAATCAAGTGGCCTTTGCTGCTCTCTGTTATTAAAAGGATGGGGTTTGAGAGGAGACACTTCAGGACTTTTTGAATTTCCTAGGCTCCCTCAGCTCTCCCTGAGGCCCTGTCTGGTCAGGTACATCAACCGGCCTCTGAGGTTTTCAGGTCCCAGAAGCCCTGACCTTGCACTTCCATTCTTAGGACCTTGTCTCTGGACACCCTCCCCCTTGCTCCCTCTAGCACCTTCCTAGGGTCCCTAGGGTCTCTCACAGGAGTGAGGACCACCTGTCCACTCCACCTGAGGGGCCAGGAGGGGTGGTAAAGGGTCATGATAAATCAGGACGGTCCTCAAAGTACCTCCAGATGGCAGGAAGGAGTCCTTGGAGACCTCTCCTGTCAGCCCTAGGACCACCAACTCCTAGTTACTTCCCTCTAAACACAGTCACAGACCTCTTCCCAGTCGGGATTGTGTCAAGTCCCTTATATACTTCCCCCGGGAGGCAGCAGCCCTGTTAGTCACTGATGCAGAGCTGGAGACACACACCTGCCTTCAGGCCTGGCCACTATGTGCTGCAGAACCACTTTCCTCTGAGCCCCAGCTAGCTCATCTCATCTCCACGAGGGGATGGAGACCTCTGCAGGTCACCGGGTAGATGACCTGGAGTCTCGTACATAAACGTGCTATAATAATTCAACTGTAAACCTAAAAATGTACAGCCAATTTTGTAAGAGATACAGCCTAGCTCAGAAAATTGTTATTGAATATGTCAACGCTGATGTTATGAAATGCTTCTTCTAAGTATGTGGTTATTAAATAAATAATTAAAATTAAATAAATTTTAAAAATTTAGACTTAAAAAAGTTATAGTTCCCTTTAAGGTATGTAGAAATTTGCCATATTTGAATCTCTAATAAAAATTTAATTTTGAAAAAAAAGTGCTTGCTAAATATTACCAAAAGCTACAGGGAGGAAGATTTTCTCCTTTGATTTGCTTCTTGGCTGGTTGAGTGCCTCCATTCCAGCCTCAGTTTCCCAGCCTGTCAAAATGAGGAATCACCATCAGGGTCTGTGCCAGTTGGTATTCGGTGTTGGGGTGAAATAGATTAAGTCTTCCCTGTTGGGGGACTATCACTTTGTAGACCCTCCCCAGTGCCCCAACACCTCCC